ATTACCTTGCGCTCCTCAGTAAAAAGTAAAACTCAAAGACACGAGGAAAAACTCAGAATTGATATAAAAGTCAATTTTCGCAAAAGTTGCGATTAGACGAAAACATCTTTTTCTCTCTAATTGGGCAAAAATTGGGAGTGCTTTAGAGAGCTCTAGCCACGGTCTTTTGATTGAAACTTGGATAATGTTTGATATTACAGTTCAATGACATCATGATTTTCTAAGATCATGACACAACTACTCTTTAAAAAGTTTTACGGTTTTTGATTTTTCAATGGCCAAACAAACCATTGATCAGTTGGTCTAAGACAATGTCGATGAAAATGAGATGGCTGCTTCGGTTTTTAGACAATATTCTCTGTCTCTGGAGGTTAGAATAACTGCTATCAACTCTTGAGTGGGTTTCTTTCTTCTTTTTCTTCAGTAGTCGCCTCCTTTGGGGCTATCATGAATTGGCCCAATCTTCGTCGTTGGTGATGATGGCTGTTAGAAGACGTCAGCTCCATGAAAAACTCCTCAAAATTGCCAGGATTTAATGAATTAGATTATCCGTATTCCTGTTTTTGTCTTCTTCCGCATGAATTCGTATTGCTTTGATGGCAATCCCACACTCCCGTTACCAAATGATGACTTGAGAGGTCATGACTTGAGTGAGATATATAAAAAAGCAAGGTCTTAACTATTAATTATATATTATTACAGCTATCGTTGTTGGTAGTAGCTGGACTAATCGGTTAGTGATTGTTGTATACTTGATCAGTATGAACAATTTGGTGATATTTAGAGTATTATATAATAATCAATCAAACAGCAAAAATTCCGTTAGAAACAATCCACAATTAAAAAGTGATAAGTATTTCTCCTGGATAATGTTTGATATTACAATTCATTGACATCATGATTTTCTAAGATCATGATAATTATCTCCTTTCAAAGTAAAAAAACTTTTGAAACCGTTTTTTTAGCCTAAATTCTCAAAAAAATGAGATAAATCGTGAGTATCACATGATAATTGGATGGACAAACCTGTTTTACTTTTCCCAAAGACAAATATTGCGTCAGTTATTCAGAGTTGATCCAAAGAGAATTGCTGTGGCCAGAAATTTGTTTTTTTTTTTTTTCAATTCTGTTTTCCAAAAATTGTGAAAGCCTCTTAAGAAACCCTAATCCTAACCTAACCCCAACCCTACCTAGAGTCATTTTCGGAAAAGAAGAACTGTGTGGCTCCGACCTTCGAGATCTCAGTTTTACTCGTCGTAAGCTAACAATTTGTGACGATTAAAACTGAGCAAAAAACCTGGTTTTTGATGAGCAAGGTGTTTTAAGTTGAGCAAAATCACTCTTAATTACTTTAAATTCGATTAAAAACAATTTTTAACATTATTCCGAACATCTTGCCGTAATGAACATATGGTTATAATACAATTTTTATATATGCAAGTTGTATGATAACTATTTTTTTAGCTTCAAATTAAATTTTCGTTTTTGATGAGCAATGTCCTATAAATTGAGCAAAAGCACTCTTAAATACCAGGATTTGTAACCTCTAAAGACCTCTAAAGATTTGTAACAGTACTAGCAGTGCTGATGTCCAAGCTGATATTAGCTCACTCCATCAGTGGACAACACTCAACGGCCTCGAGTTCCATAATGACAAGACTAAACTGCTGCTGGTCTGCAGCTCTGATGTTAATCTGGAACTTGGTGGCTGTCCAATCACCTGGAACTTGGTGATCAAAGATCTCGGGGTCATAATCCAGGGTGACCTCAAATGTCATTCACACGCGCTCAAAACGCTGGCCAAAAGTGGTAAAATGCTTGTTTATTCGTCGTACTATCCCGTATCATACACCTCGCTTTGCGAAGCTGAATCTATACCGATCATGGTTACATGTCAGTATTTAGACAACCGCGTATTCAGACTGGTCAGTATTTAGACAAATACTGTTTCAACCAATCAGAATCGAGACAAAGAAGAAATTAATAAATAATTATTATTTATTTTGGGTTATTTATGTCTTTTCTCGATTCTGATTGGTTCATACAGTATTTGTCTAAATACTGACGAGTATGAATACGCGACTGTCTAAATACTGGCTGCACTCCACCGATCATGTGTCCTATCTGTACTGCTCTATAGCTCTCCCGTCTGGTCACCTGACCGCCAATATTTGAGACGCCTTGAGCGTTTCCAAAGTCGTGCTCTGAGGTGGATAACTGGAATCGATGACTATACTGCCAATATCCGTAGCCTCGATATTCTCCCTATTTGTTTCCAAATTATTGTTATCGACATGATTCTCTTCTGGAAAATCGTTAAAAGCAGACTGACATTAATCCTGATGAAGAATTTTTTGCTAAAAAGTAAATTTCAAACGTTTTCGCAACTATGTGCATCGTCAGGTTTTTTACAATAAACTACTCTAAATGACGATAAAACATCAATTTACAAATGTTATTTACAATAAATCACATACAATTTGCTTCCAAACCATCATGATAAAAAATTAGCCAATCACAGTTGACCTCTAAATTACTATTAAGATTAAAATACTTTTAACCTCTAAAATTAATTAAACATTTTAAAATTAATTTGTCTGGAAGTTTCTGAGTCATAATTGCGATTTAGACATGTACGTTTAATCCTGATGACTATGTAGTACTCGCGTCGCAGTCTGATGTTTCAACCCGTCTGGCGCCCAGTATGGTGTTTAGGCAAAGGAAGACCAGGAAGTTCCAGTGCGACCGCAACTTCTTCGCCCGCTCGGCTACAAACGCCAATCTTCTATCCGCATGTGGTGTCAATTTCGAGAGTTCCCTACATCCGTTCAAGAAGAACCTGCATCGCGTCCTTCTCGATCGTCTTGCGGGATTTGACGTCTCCAACCCATGCACATACTACCTTAAATGTAACTGTTCCCTCTGTCGGTGCTAATATAATCTCAAAACATCTATTCTGTAATAATCTCGATGAGATTTAAGTCTTTTACTACTACTACTACTACTACTAAATAATTTAAATTTGTTTACAAACAAGTTTGAACAATTTCTGAAAATCTTGCCTTTCATGAAAGAATGGTTATCATACAATTTTCATATATGGAAATTGTATGATAACCATTTTTTTTTAAAAAAAAACAAACGTAGTTATTTTTCATCACCAGACTGTTGTATTTGGTTCAAATAGCCGGAGAAACTAGATTGAATCTTTTTTCAATGGTTTTTTGAAATTGTATGCAAATTGTATGATTAGCATTTTTCGATACATTTGATGCAGGCAATTGTGTGATAAGCTTTTTCGGTGTGGGGAAATTTAAAATAAGCATTTTCGGTTTATGGATGTCAACCCGGGGTCACATTACCTTTCCAGGCCTTTTTGTTGGTTTTAATCGGTTTTCCTTATAAGACCGCTCAAAAACCGCTCAAATCTTGCTTGAAAACCGTTCAAAAATCACCGCAAGAAATGAGCGGTTTTTGAGCGGTTTTTAAAGCAAGATTTGAGCGGTTTTTCCAAAAAAAACGCCCAAACCGCTCAAATCTTGCTGAAAAACCGCTCAAACCGCTCATATCTTGAGCGGGATCTCGACCCGGGCACCCAGATTGTCAGTTCAAAGAAAGTTGACGATGCCGCTCATGCAGTATCAAGCTAGCCAATTCTTAGATAAAAACCCAGAAGAAAACACTCGCTTGCAGGGACTTATGTGCCCTGGAGCAGGTGACTGGTTGAACGCACTACCGTCCCGAGCCCTTTGCCTACAACTAGACGACGAATAATTCAGAATTGCAATGGGATTTTGACTTGGCGCACCAGTGTGTACTACACACAAGTGTTCTTGTGGCGAAATGGTCGATACCCTTGGCAAGCACTCTCTAGTCTGCAAAAAGAGTCGCTCAGTACATGCTCGACATTCAATGGGAAACCACGTTATCCACAGGTCTATGATCCAAGCAAATATCCCTTCAACTTTGGAACCCACTGGACTATTCCGAACCGACGGTAAACGGTCGGATGGCCTTGCCCTAGTACCATGGGCCAACGGTAGACCCCTGATATGGGACTCCACTTGTGTGCACAGGTTGGCTGATTCAAATCGCCAAGTTGCCAAAAACGAAGGACGGTGTGTCGCTGATGCAGCGGAGGACAAAAAGCGCACCAAATATGCCGGGTTGGTCTCGTCCCACATAGTCCAACCAGTCGCCTTCGAGACTCTGGGGGGGAATGGGGACCGTTTTCTTACGCCAAAGACTTGGAATCGCGATCCAGAGAGGTACGGCTGCATGTCTCCGAGAAACTTTGCAATGCGACCCAGAAGACCCTATTGGAACTGATTTTAGACGATGATTTTTATCATTTCACCTTACGCTTTACTTGTTCCTAGTTTTTTTAGAGAAAAAATAGATTTTTAAAAAGATTCTAGAAAAATGAATTTTAAAAACTAATAATAAAAAACTAATAATTTGCAGCTTTCATATATAAAAAAGAAATGAAAGCGATTACAACCTGTTTTTTCACGGGTGGAGGTTCCAGCGGGGGTGTCCGGGTAGAAGGGGAGTATCGCGGCTTCATGAGCTTGTCTCTAAAATCCCGTCCCGGGCCTTCTTCATACAAGGGTACCATTAGCGTCATATCACAAACTATTTAATAAGTTTATCACAACAATTAGGCTAAATTGCTTATCACAACAATAATAATATGAAACTTTAATAAGTTTAACACAACAAGTAGGCTAATTAGGTCATTCTGGTCGAATGGCGCATGTCACTTACATCTCGAGAAAATTCCAAGAATTTTGACTGGAATATGTGATAAAGGGAATGTAACCTCGGTTATGTGATGAAGTGACTGTAACCTCGGTTACTATGATACTCTGACCTTCCGATTATGTCTGGAAATTTAGTTTGAAGTTTTACATGCTGAGAAGTAAAGCGTTCAAAGGGGAGTCAATAGTGTCTTATTTGTTTCTTTGATTTTATTGAATGTAGTGATTTTGTTTGTAGAATTATAAATGCACGAGCCATACACAAAAACGTTGAAGAAAACTCTGCATTACGCAGTGAAATGGGAAGACGAGCAGTTTGGCTGGCATTTTGTCTCTATTAAAAATCTTCGGAACCAAAAAGGAGTAATTGCTGAAATCTACACCGCTGGTGAAAGCGTGATCTTCAAGCAAGGAAAAAAAGAATTTCCAGGAAAAGTTATTTCCAAAGATGAAGCTCCCGTTGCTAAAACGAAAAAATCTTCCAGTAAGTTAGTCGTCAAGACTGCTTTGTCTGAGTAGCGTAATATATTATCTATCTTTTATCTATTTATTAAAATATCTAAATTACAAAAGGGGCCCTTCCGTTTGTGCACAAGCTGAATAGGGCCAATACCAGCGTTATAAAAATGCATATATATATACATATATATCAGCAATGAAGTCATAAATCAGTATTAAATGCATCGTCGTAATGTTAATTTATCTTAGCCGTCCTTCCTTTACAATAGCGCTTATGGAGTTGTCGATAAATTGAACTTTGCGCAGTGATCTGCACCCACTTATACAAATCTATTTATTATAAACTTAAACGCGGGCTTCATCATCTCGCCATGTTTGAGTTTTTTCAACGTATTATTTTTGCAGGTTAAAAAAGAATTTTTTCACGTTTAAGCTATATCGTACATAGTAATGGTTAAGAATTTATTTTCAAGTTTTCAGTTTTGTTTGATGGGGAAATTGATAATTAATTTTTTAAGGATTAATTAATAAACCCTTTTAGCTTCTGAGATACGACGATTTTTTGTTTTTCCAAAACTTTGTTTTTTCCAAAACCAAACTTTTCGTTTTTTTTCCAAAACCAAAGCGTTTTCCAAAACCTGGTGAAAGCGTGGTCTTCAGGCAAGGAAAAAAAATCCAGGAAAAGTTATTCCGAAAGATGAAGCTCCCGTTGCTAAAACGAAAAAGTTTTCCAGTAAGTTAGTCGTCAAGACTGCTTAGTCTGAGTAGCTTAATATATTATCTATCTTCGATTTATTATAAATTTAAATGCGGGCTTCACTATCTTGCCATCTTTAACCTTTTTCAACGTATTTTTTTTGCAGGTTAAAAGAAAGAAGCAATACGAGAAAACATATTCCGATGAAATATTACTGATAGACACGGAAAGTGAATTTAACTCCCTAAACCTGAACCTGGCTTTGAAAAATTTTGCAAATATATGCCCTTCCTATACTACCCGCTATACAGAACTCATACTCTAATCCATCAAAACTCTTCATAAATAAAAAAAAGTTATCCTATCTAGAGAAGGAACCAAACAAGGCATTAGCAATGCCAATGTACGGGCTAGCCATTTTACCTTTTACAAAACTAGTCAACGATAACAGCCTAACACAGAAATGGTATGCAGAAAAATGGGAACGCAGTCGGAAATTTGAAAAGCCTGCGAAGAGTTCTTGACAACATTATCAAACACGGAAAACATTTTGGATATCATGTAAAAGCGTCGAAATGCCAGCTCATTGTAAAAGATGAAAAATACAATGAGGTGATCAAAATCAAAATACCACCGAAAATAGGCAGTGAAAATGGGTTGTCTAAATATCAAGCTACCTTTTGACTATGAGTTTTTTAGAATGTTCATTTAAAACATCGTACGACACATACGCCCTTCACTGTGCAAAGGGTGGATACACCCACATGAGGCATGGCGAAATCAGAGATACCTTTGCCAACCTCATGAGCGAGGTTTGCTTTGATGTTGAAATTGAGCCGAAACTTCAGTCGTTGCAAGGCGAGAGCTTTGGCAACAATTCAACTGCAACTGATGAAGACGCTCGACTAGATGTAAAAGCAAAAGGATTATGGGGCTCAAGGTTTAGCCGAACCTTCTTTGATGTCAAAATCTTCAACCCGCATGCAAAAACTTCGCGAAGACTACTGAAAGACGCCTATAAGTACCACGAATCACTAAAAAACTCAAAATACCAACAGAGTTCAACAAGCCGAACAGAGCAGCTTCTGCCCGCTCATTTTTGGCTGCACCGGTTTTACCGCACCAGCAGCTACTCGGTCAAGGCAGCGCATAGCTGAAAAACTTGGTGAAAAAAGGCATGAAAGCTACTCAGAAACAGTGAACTATATAAGAACTAAGATAAGCTTCGCGCTGTTCAGGAGCGCTATCCTTTGTATACGGGGGTGCAGATCACTGCGTAAGACGCAATTCTTAGACAATTCAATTAGGGCTGTTGTAGAGGAGGGACGGTTGAAGTAAATACTTTTAATGACAATGCATTAAATGCTGACTTGACTTAATTCCTGCAATATTGTTGTTTTATGTATTTATATAATGCTGGTATGGGCCCTATCCAGCTTGTGCACGACCGTTCCTAAACGTAAGGGCCCCTTTTAAAACGCTCTTAATTTCTGAGATGTGATGTTTATTGTCTTTTTTCAATTGTTCAAAGAACTTACCTATGGAAAAGTTCACAAAATTTGAATTCTTATTGCTATGCGAGGCTCTAGCAGGGTTGCAAAATTGGTCTCCCAATATGACTGCTCAAATCCTTGTAGTTTCCGAGATATGAAGTTTTTGAGGTTTTAAATTTGAAATTCTCAACCCTGCTTAATGATTTAAGTTTCGCAGAGTTGAAGTTGTTTAATATGATTTCAAATAATTTTTTTCATAGAAGTTAGATATAAAAATCTTCACAGATCTTTATGGTTTTTGAAACTTTGAATTAAAAAAGCTTGATTATAAAAAAAGTTTTACAGAATCTTAAAATACCAACCTTCTAATTGGGTTCTGTCAGAGCACATTCAAAGAATGCACAACTTATTTCCAAAATATGCCGTTTCTTATGAGTTGTTAAAAATTTGAAGCTTCGGAGGTGTGTAACACGCTACTTTTAATTAAATATTATAAAATTTGAAATATTGCTTTTTAGGTAGGATTTTGTCAGGTTGCTACCAGCGGACGCATATATGAACTCTCATCATAATAAAATTGCTCATGTTTTTTCATTAAACTTACAATTAAATTAAGAACGAGTCTGAGAATTTTTACAAATTAGTTAGGCTGGGTTTTAGTCAGTTGTTTATAATGAGTAGACCCCCGCCTTTATGGTTCAGCTCTTTTGTTTTGTTTCCTTTCCTTAGTAGATGTCTCTTGCCTTACGCATGTGTTCTTGCCAATGTTGGTCTACTCTTGTTTTGAAGCTGTCCATCTAAATGACCGAGATCACTGTCTCGGACAGAGTATTCAAGTCGTTTGTCGCACTCGTCGTGAAAAAATCCTCTGTTCGAGGTTAGGCTTCTCCGGAATAAGTTTCTCATTTTTACCTCTCGTCTTGTTTATCTCAAGTCTTTCTGCAGTTGCTTCGTTGTCATATCGTCCCGTCAAGGTCTTGAAGATTTTGATCAATCGACGCCTCATCTGTTTCGCAGTGTAGGGCGTTTAATATTTCAGCGTTCGCCGTTATTTCATTCGAGAGTATATACTAATCGTGAGTAGTAAGTTAATTCTCCGGCGCTCCAACAGGTTGGGGTACCTACACAGGGGTGCTCCAGAGCCTAATCCCTATGAAAACTGACACAAATTTCTTAGTTTTTGTGTCAGTTTTCATAGGGATTAGGCTCTGGAGCACCCCTGTTTTCAGCTTGATTTTTCGCCTTCCGGGCTTTTGTCTTGGATCGAAAACGCATGGTAGGCAGGTTCGCCCGTTTCTTCTTCGAAACCTTCGCTCTGTTTTGAATAGGCCCTACTTGATCGAATGTTGGATAAGAAACTGGTCGTGGATCATATAGTGACCAAGTAGGTAACACATACGTGTCCCCTAAGTAGTAGGCTAATTCGCCGACGCTCCAACAGGGGGGGGGGGGGGGGGGGGGAGGGTACCTACACAGGGGTGCTCCAGAGCCTAGTACCAAAACCACATAAGCGCTCCAGACACATATTCTTGGTGCTCCAGACCCTAATCCCAAAACCACAGGGGCTCCAAACTAATTTTCAAACCCTAGGTGCACTTCAAATAGGAAAATAAAACCACATAAAGTAGATCCTAAGTGCTATGAATTGACTATATTATAATAAGTCACTGCTGTTGTGATATATATAAAAAAGGTAGGTCTAGGGACTGCATTTTCGTGCGTTAACGTTCGATCAAGACTATAACGTTCATATTTGAGTGGAATTAAAGTTAACGTAAAAGTTAGAGCCAATATGTTTAAACCGTTGGTAGCTGTAAACCATTTCCTTTCCGTATGCATCTTTTATTTTTGAAATAACGCTTAGCAATCTGAATCACTCACGAAGTTTGAAGAGCGGCTGACAGTCCGGTGTCATGACATAATTGAATAATAAAAATAATGATACAATTATGGAATGAGAAATTAAGCAAAATGATTTTAATTTTGATCTTCTCAATTGGTACCCGATCAAAAAACAGTTGTATTAACGATCGTCATATAGTTTTTATATCACGGTGGGAAAAAATAGCAGATAACGAACCAAAAGAATCTGGGCAGAGTTGTAAAGAACAGTTTCACTTGAACGATTTTTTTTTACAAATAACGTGGTGTTTTTATGTAAAACAAAAGTATGGGAAGGCTACTGATCTATCAATTGCTACTTATGAAAGCGTATTTGATTAATCGTTCGATTTTGCCTCAATATTGATTGAGAAAGTGGTGGAGCGAAAGATTCGACTTTGTTTTGATAAATTGTCAAAATATCAAAAATTTCCAGTGGTCTATCTAAATATCTACCAACGAGATATGGGACTGAGTAAGTGATATATGCAAGGTTACTTTTACTTCCACTGGCTTGAAGTTCAGCAGGTCCGGGAGGTGTTGGAAAAAGTAGAAAATGAAATTGGAAAAACATAGAGTTACATCAATGGACTGGAAAATCATTTACGACATTTATTTGACCGTGAAAAAAACCTATGCGGAAAACTCTGACCGCCGAAGTTATTTTCTAGCCAAATGTTCTCTGTTTTTCTTTTCTAGCAAAAAAGATAAACTTTGACCTTGCCATTAAACTTAGATCATATGGAGGTCTTATTGGCATAGATAATTCTTCATTGGACAAATACTTGAATGATTCAAAAGTATTACGACTGCATGCAATTTTACACGATGGCGCAGGATTTGTTCACGAAGTATATAACACTGGTCCCACCTAATGTTAAATGCTACCCTGGAAATGTAACAACAGCCTGATTGGTCACCTGAGTGGAAGTACTTTGTTTATATGTTGAACTG